TATTTACACCCTTAAATATGCAATAGTGAATTTTATTAATAACGATCTTATATGAAGATAGAAAAATAATGATGAGAGCCCGAAAATTTATAAACTATTGTTAAAACAAAAAATAGTTATAAAGATTTTTTGTGAAGAAGTGAATCACTGAGCCTATTCATATCGATATGTATTTTATTTAAACCAGATCCCAGGTCAATAATCTAGACCCCAGATCATTAATCCCAGACCCAGGTCATTAATCCTAGACCCAGGGTTCGGGTTATTAGATCCGAACCCTTTCCTAATATGAAGGGGACAAAGGTAAGACCTAATAATAGATAAATTCGTTGCTGTGAAACAGTTGCAATAGAGTTTATCTTTCTTTAGATCAGAATTAATGGTTTCTTTGTAATGATTCTATATATAAAGAAAGAATTTGTAATTTTATACAAAAATATATTACAATAAATTTACCTCAGAACCACATTATATTCGTTTACTATTTGTTTTTTCTTTTTATGTTGATGATGATGCAATTTCTTTATTTATCTTTTGAATTGAATGCAAAAAACATACGACTTGATTTTCATGGACTTAGCTCTACTGGATGAAAATGATAATAGCTGGTACAGAGAATGTGTCTAACATAAATTGTGTATACACATTGTAAAGAGCTCTAGTATCAAATAATCTAATTTTATTATTTCAGTATGCTAATTTTTTTTTTTTTGAATCAGCATTCATCATACAATTTACATTATTTATTATCAATATCTACAATAAAAATTCATTTCAAATAATCATTATTATTTATATTTTTTATGATTTTTTTTTTTTGTAATTTAATTTAATTCATTCCATACAAATGCTACACATAACATTCCTGTACATAATTAAAAATAAAATAATAATCATAATAATAATAATATTATTATTTTCATATATAAATAAATATTCTAAAAATTCATACAAAAATTTTCTTACCTATATACATCTGCCACTGTCTTCTAATAATAAACCATAATTTCATTTCTTGTTCTGCTTTATCCAAATGAAATGTTGCTACACTTCCATTATCAAACAAAGTAACTATTATATAATATTATAGATTGTTAGTAAAATAAAAAAAGTAATTGTTAAAAGAAAAAAACAATCATTAAATATTTCCTGTATTCTTTATTCCATTATTATTATCCAAATTAAGTTTTGAAACACTTATTGGTCTCACTGCAATAATATCCTAAACAAAAGTACATTTGGTCAAAAAATTATTATTATTATTATTTTTCAGTCAAAAAGTTAATATTAAAAGCATATATAAAACTTACCAATTCATATAAATCAGATTGACTTATAAAATCCAAATATGGTGCTGTTATAACCATTTTCAATTCCCAACTTTCTCCATTAGCATTTGCTATATTATTTATTTATAATCCTTCTGTTAGTCTATCAAGCTATTCTTTTTCTTTTTCTTTTTCTTTTAATATTCAATGATGATAACATAGAAAATTATGATTATTAGCAACACCTCTTTTATATATCGGAATATAATTTAAAAAAATAAAAATAAAAGAATATTAATTTTAAAATTCTAATTATAAAATAATTATAATAATAATTTACCTGAGTGACAAGTAATAATAAATTTCCATTAGGATTAATTTCCATTCCAATAACTTGAAAAGGTCATTCTTCAATTAGTGGTAAATGTTCAACATCAACTGTATAAGCTTCTTTACTCTTTGATTTTTGATCTGATGAAGTAGTGTTTCTAATGTAAATAATCTATTTTAGCAGATTTGAAGAAGGTAATGTGAATAACTTTTTTTTTTATTTAAAAATTTCTGCTCTCGTACCCTCACTTATATATAGTCGGTTTCGGGTAATTTATCAAAATTGGAACGCGTCAAACTGTGGTTACAGATATTAATCAATTTAATCTTAAAATAAATAATAATAAATAATAATAAACAAATATGTATATGAAACTTGTAAATACTTGTTTAATTGCCGTATGCCGTATCATGCGCCATATGCTGTATCAGCTGCCGTGGATGTAAACATGTTTTTTTTTGATATACCCCAGATTTTGAACTGAAAAGCATAGAAAATATTTGATAGAGGAAAAGAAATGATAGTTCGAATTAGAACATTTCAACATCATCTATTTCGAAATTGAGTTGGGAGGAGATTGAATGTGTAAAAGTTAGTTAGTGTTCACGAATTACAGGACATTAGCTTCGCAAAAATCCATTTGTGTGACGATCTGATTTTTACTATAACCAGGCATGACTGAGAGAAAATGCCGAAAATGAAACAATTGGGGTGAATTATCCATTTCCAGAATAATTCACGAGCTCTGGAATGTAAACATTGAAATTTGATAGGGTAATTTATAATAAAAATGGTTTTAAGGCGAATTTGTCAGAACATGACCTTATTTGTATTCATTGATGTACTTTGGAAAGTTATGTAAATATTGTACGTAGTTTCAAAGAGATATGTTTAAATAGAAATAGAAGCTATAAAAGACTATCGAATTCCCACAAAAAAATATTATATTATCGTTTTAAAAGAAATTACCGACCAAAATGGCTGAAATTGCTGATGTAGGTTCTATTTCTCAGTTAAAAGTAATGATAGAATACTTTTCAATATTTATTTATGCTATAATAACTCTCATATCCATAACATATAGTTGCAGAGCATAATTGTAGGTGTTGGTGGTGTTATAACTGTTATGACACCTATTATAGTTGCGATAGTAGAAATTAGAAAAAAGAACGAGAAAAAGAGTTCTTATGAGCCAGAGACGTATGGAAGGGTTATGATTTCTACAGATTGTGAAAGCGGGAGATCTATAAATTATGGAAGTGTTGGAATAAAAGGAGGGAAGAGTTCTAATGATTATAGTGATGGGATTGTGAGTTTTACAGATTATGACAGCGTAAATTACAGAAGTGTTGAACATGAAGGAAATGAGACGGATTGTTCTGAATCTTTCAAAAAGATTCTCATAATGGTTCTCAACCTCTATTTCCAATTAATTTTCGCTATCATTCTTCCGCCTTTAAGTGTTTTCTTAGCGGAAAAG